CGGGTGCGCGCGGTGGCCCGGCTCCCTGACGCTCGCTGACGCTCGCTGACGCTCGCTGACGCTCCCTGACGCTCCCTGACGCTCCCCGCCGGCCACGGCGCGGACCCCGCCGCTTCCCAACGCGGGGGGCCGGACAGCGCTCGCACCGAGGACCTGAGTGTCTCCGCCGGCAGAACGGGCCGGTGACGTCACCCTCCGTCTCCAGGGCAGGCCGGCCTGTGACGTCACCCTCCTCCTCCAGGGCAGGCTGGGCCTGTGACGTCACCTTCCTCCTCCAGGGCAGGCCGGCCTGTGACGTCACCCTCCTCCAGGGCAGGCCGGCCTGTGACGTCACCCTCCTCCTCCAGGGCAGGCCGGCCGGTGACGTCACCCTCCTCCTCCAGGGGCAGGCCGGCCTGTGACGTCACCCTCCTCCTCCAGGGGCAGGCCGGCCTGTGACGTCACCCTCCTCCTCCATGGGCAGGCCGGCCGGTGAAGTCGCCACCAGCTCCCGGCCCCGGTCGACGGTGCTCTGGGTCTGGCCTCTGGTAATCGAGGTGACTGGGCCGCTGCCAGGAAGCAGCCTTGGAGGAGGCCGGTGCGCAGGCGCACGCGCAGGCGCACGCCCTGCCCAGGGCCCAGCTCGGGCCGTGCTCGCCCCCAGCGCTCCCCACCCTCCAGAGAGCCTGGACCCCACTGCTGGCTGCTGCGCCTCCACGCCGGGGGTCGGGGCCCACCTGGACGCCCGGGCCGCCTCCGCCTGCGGGCCTACCGGTGTGAGCCGCTCAGCTCACCTAGTGCTTTTTGTTGTCGGTCGTGGGGCTTGAACGCTGAACTCTGTGGCGCTGTCCCTGCGCTCTTCAGCTCAAGGCGAGCGCTCTACCACTTGAGTCACAGCGCCACTTCCGGTTTCCTGGGTTAATTGGATATCAGAGTCTCACAGACTTTCCTGCCCAGGCTGGCTTTGAACCTCAATCCTCAGATCTCAGCCTCCTGAGTAGCTGGGATAACAGGCGTGAGCCACCGGTGCTGTGCTTATAAACCTAGTTCTTTGAGAAGAAACTTTAAATAGGGAGAAACAATGAAAAGAAAAACAGAACTGGAGGTTTCTATTCTCTCCAGTGCTGCTTGTAGAGTATGAGAGAAGAGAAGGAGGAGGAGAAGGAGGAGGAAGAAGTAGGGGGAGGAGGAAGAGGAGGAGAAAGTAGAGGAGGAGAAGGAAGAGGAGGAGGAAGAAGAGGAGGAAGAGAACAAGTTAGAAGTTGATCAGAAAGGAACTGTAAAGTTCACCGGAAAAACCTGGCTAAGTCCCCAGACAATATCATCTAAGAGGAAGTACAAAGGTCTCAGGGCTGTGACTTCAAGAACATGCCTAAATCCTTTTCTACTTATCAGAGAAAACTGGGTAGGTCCGAGGCCAAGCACTGGACTCCAGATGGCCTTCAGTCAGCCCATGGGTCTGCAGCACAAGGCGGGCTCCCTCTGGAGAGCTGTTGAAGTGGAGGCTCACCCTTGTTGAAGATTCAGACGGCTCTGGAGTGGGCAGTGTTTCTTACTTTTAGTATCTGAAGGATCTTGAAGCTGAATTGGAAAGCCCTTGAATTATCCATGTTGCAGTGATGTGTGTGAGGTGGAAATGCTCGTTATCGAGAGAGACCTGTGCTAGAACTCTAAGACCTGAAATAATAAAAAGATGGAGTACGGCTTCTTATTTTAGTGAAGGTCGCATTTCTGGACATTTTAATGGATTGCATTAAATGTAGTATGTCCATTTTAAGCTATCTTTGGTGTAGTCAGACGCCCTCTGCTGCCTTCAAGATGAAGTTCAGAAGAAAAAAATCAGACTAAATGCAGAAAAGTGCTGACTTTGACAGGAAGTGAGTCCTGCCCGAGGGGTACCGGCGGGGCGTCATGTGGACACTCAAAATATGCAAGCCAACCCCGGTAGACAGCTTGGGGCAATCAAGTGAAGGAATAATAAAGTCAAAAACTCTCAAAAGCAAAAGACACACTTGGGAGATGCAGCTGGGCGCCGGTGGCTCACACCTGCAATCCTAGCTACTCCAAAGGCTGAGATCTGAGGATCGAGGACCAAAACCAGCCTGAGAAAGTAGGTGAGATTCTTATTGCCGATTAATCATAGAAAAGGCTGAACGCGGTGCTGTAGCTCAAGTGTTGGAGTGTGAGCCTGAAGTACAAGGAGACGGAGACTTGAGTCTCCATGGCTGGTCACGTGGGCTGGAGAGCACCCCTGGCTGCTGGCCACCGTGGGTCAGAGCCTCCGCCCCACCACCACAGCACACAGGGCTGCCCCAACCCACACCACGGGAGCCCCGGAGGATCGGAGGTGGCCCTCCCCCAGGGCTTTGGTCCTGGCTTTCTGAGTCCCTGGCGGAGGCCCTGTGACCCCAGGCAGCCTGCCCACCACGAGCTAACCCGGGAGCGGCGCTTTGATCCGTGGCATCTGTGAGGCTCCACCGTGCCGAAGCTCACCTGGGCAGTTACCTGTGGGAAAGCTCACTTCCGTCCCTGGGGGCGGGTGGGGTTCCCTGTCAGGTGCTTTTCCTGTATCTGTTCGTGTGATCCTATGCTTTTTAAATCTATTAATGAGGCAGTGATTCTTGTGTGTGTGTGTGTGTGTGTGTGTGTGTGTGTGTGTGTGTGAACAGGCTTCGCCTTAATTGGTTACAGTCCACTGTCCCTCTGTGCACTGTCAGATCTGCTTTGCTAAAGTTGTCTCCCTCTGCAGCTGGGCCCTACGGTTCACCTTTGTGATCCAGCTATGCAAGAGACTCAGGCAAGGCCAGCCTGGACACCAGACAAGACCCTGAGAGAGAAGGAGAAGGAGGGAAAAAAAGGGAAGGGAAGAAAAGAAAAGGGAAGGAGCAGAAGGGAAAGGAAGGGGAAAGGAAGGAAAGATACTTTGTTCTGTTTTGGGCATTACTGGCCTTGTGCTTACTCAGCAGGCACTCTACCATTTGAGGTATGCCCCAGCCAAAGAAGGAAGGAGGGAAGGAAGGAAGGAATGTTGTATGTATTGTCCAGCAGAATCAGAATGGGTCTGTAGTTTCCTGTGTGGTCTTTGCTTGTTTTGTTGCTGGCTAACATGTTTCACATAGAATACATGTGCCCCCCAGTGCCCAGCCAGGGAAACAGTTTGACTTGCATGAATCCCTCCCCCCCCCACCGCCATGCGTAAGAAAACTTTCCTACAAATAGTGGACCAGCCGCTGACTCTGCCTGCTCCTCCCCCACTGTCAGATGCTCAGGTGCCCTGTGGGCCGGGGGGGGGGGGGGAGGTAAGGGGGCGGCGCACAGGTCTAGTGCTCAGAACTTCCCAGTCATGGAGGACCTCGAGCCCCAGCTCCTCCTGCGTGGCGTGTTCCGTACCCATTCTCATGGCATGAGTGGCATCCAGGCCTTGCTCACCTCCCCCGGGGCACCAGTAGCTGAGCCCTGGAAGCACAGCTGGGTCCTGGCTTAGATCTGTTTTGAAGTCCTGAGCCCTGTGGACCTTCTCAGCTTCACCTCACCTGTTAGGGTGACGCGTCCTCACCCGGTAGAGGGCACACGCTGGCCGGTGGTTTTCGTGGACGGGTTACCACAGGTGGATTGGGCGGTAGTGTTTGGTAGGAGCTGTGAGTAGAGACCTGCGGATCCACCCTTGTCTTCCACTCCACCAGCTCCTTCCGCGGAGGTCCGGCCTTGGAGAGGGTAGTGCTGGTGCAGCTGCAAACCCGTCTCGAGTGGGGAAGTCGGAGATGGGAACCGCAGGCTCACAGGGACTGCCAGGCCCCGTGCAGGCAACATCTTCATGGCAAAGACGCAGCTGCGGCTAACTCACGAGGCAGCCAGCCTCCACCCTCCAGCCGCAGTCCAGCTCTGTGCCTCCGAGGGGCCCAAGACGGCCTTGGCCCTCACGCGGGGTGTGAGGTCAGGAGTGTCTGACTCGTAGTCCTCTCTGTGTACGGTCCACACCTGGTGTTCACTCCCGAATGAAAGATCTGGCTGCCTTACAAACCTTTCTCATGCCTGACTCTGCCTGCTGCTCTATGAGTGCTTTAGAAAGGCAGTGCAGGGCTGGGAAGGTGGCTCAGTGGTAGAGCGCTCGCCTCGCATGCATGAGGCCCTGGGTTCGATTCCTCAGCACCACATAAGCAGAAAAAGCCGGAAGTGGCACTGTGGCTCAAGTGGTAGAGCGCTAGCCTTGAGCTGAAGAGTTGAGGGACAGCGCCCAGGCCCAGAGTTCAGGCCCCACGACCAACCAAAAAAAAAAAAAAAAAAGGCAGTGCATTCACTGTTCGCTCATAGTTTATAGACATTTAACAAATACAGTGAGATTTTGTCCTGGGTGAAGAGACTCCAGCATGGGGCCAGTCAACATGCCCCTCAGCCCACTGTCATCGAAGGAAGGAAGTGCTGTTAGTGGATCCACCTGTTTTGTTTTGGATTTTTGTTGTTGTTGTTGTTAGGCCCGTCCTGGGGCTTGAACTCAGGGCCTGGGCACTGTCCCTGAGCTTCTCTTGCTCCAGGATCGCACTCTACCACTCAGGCCACAGCATCACTCCCGGCTTTTTCTGTGTATGTGGTGCTGAGGAATCGGGCCCAGGCTTCAGACATGCCAGGCAAGCGCTCCACCGCCGAGCCGCCTCCCAGCCCAGAGGTTTCACCTGAGGTCAGACAGGAATCCATTTCTGGAAGGTCTTTGAGATACGAGCCACACATCCCCACCACTCACTCCAGGTCTGCTTCCTGGTATAGAAGCAGGCT